AAAAATGTATTACGTATTAATACATAGATATTAAATAGCTTTAAATATTAAATATCTCCTTTGAAATTTATATAAACCTTTATAATTCATTTATATAAGAAAACCAAGGTAAATAAAACATGTGTAAATATTGATTTAATTTTGCTAAAATATTTAATTTTGTTAAAATAATTATTTTAACATTTCAGTAATTATTAATGTCAATGATGCTTACTGTTTTATATCATCCTGAATAGGCAATGAATCTGCAGCATTTATCACCTTTGGTTGTTCAAAATTGACTCCTTTTGATTTTTGCTCTTTCATAGAAGATTCTTCCTTTGCAAGTGTCACTTTCAGATATAATGGTTTCTTATTATTAAGCTCTCGTATAGCAAGCTCAGCTTCACGATACGATCCATATGTGATATAACACCATGTTGCACCATTACGAAGATAGAACATTCCCGTTATTTCACCATATTGACCAAAAATGTCTTTAATGGCGTTCTTAAAGAATATCATGATTCACGTTATTAAACAATAAAATATACCCTAATTTCATTAAATGTGGATATATATAATATTGATTTATAAAATGTAACTACAATAATGTGTAATTTGTGTAAGAAGTCAATATTAACAAGAATTACAAAACGTTTTAATAATTAAACAACTATAGAGATTAGTAGATCATACCTCATTTAACTCTACTGGCAAATTGTTCACATATATCCTATATTCCACGTCCATCCTATAAATAATATAAAATATAAAAGAAATCACATAGGTATAAATTTATGTAAATTATCATGAGAATATATAGTTCAATGAAAGTTTTACGATATGCTCTACCATGAAACAAAAATTTGTATCTCCAATATATATCACACAATTCATTAATATACTTCTCAGGTTATTGTTATAACCTGAGAAGTATATTAATGAATTGTGTGATATATATTGGAGATACAAATTTTTGTTGGGATGAGAGGGGGCTTATTTATGCAAATATTTAAGATAAAAAAGTCTCTTTTGACTGCAATGTACCATTTCAAGCAAATTTATTTTTCGTTCTTACCGGTCATGATCCAGCTCGGCGTTTATATTCGCAAAGTGCGCCATTACTCGTATCACGCAAATTGCTCGCAAGAGAATCAAGGGATTCCGTAAAGGAATCAAAATTCCGTCCTATACGATGTAGTATCGGAAGACTAAAGAGTCCTGCGCAAAAAAGATCTTTCGTTTATCATTCGGCGTACAGAGGACGTGATCGCATCACGCATGAACCGGCAGGTAAACAACAAAGGACACTGTTGTTGACCTGTAAGCGCGGCAGCACGTTGAAACGCTATACGTAACGAAATGCCGGAAATATGTAAACACGGACAGAAAAAAAGCCGGTCACGTTTATGCTATCGTGTCTCTGTGAGAAACGCGAACGGTTTGAACGGACGAATCGAAACCCTCCAAGAGATAGCGGAAAGGCAAAACAAACATGTCTACGTTTAGCAGGAAAAAACAGCTTAGAAAGCGCTTAGTGATTCTTCAATACAATAGGCTCTTGCCTCTTTACTTCCTCTAAACTTTACTAGCTCTAAATGTACAAACTAATCAAATAAGAATAAGAAAAAAAAACTAATCACCGAGAGCTCACCCCAAGCCCTTTTTTTGTTTGTTTAATATCGTTCGTCCTCAACACTTTTCTACACTTGAAACGAAATCGCCATATTTCGATTACAACGAAATGAGATAATCGATGAAGCGCTTTTGTGTGTGTGCGCGTGCGTGCGTGCGCCGTGCGTGACCTTCTTATAAACAAGTTTATCAAAGAGTATATTGTGTCTCGCGCTGAATGTATATGTTAGCGTTTGATGAATTCAACAGTCAAGCTCTTCGAGTACTTTCTCAGATCTTTTTGGCTTAAGAGCCGATTTCACTACCTTCGATCGGTCGATTGAAAATTGCAAAACTTAAAACTAATCGTATATTATTTTGTTTTCCTTGTCCAGTCGCTTTCTGTAAATTACAATTTATGCAAAATATACTCTAAATAGGCAATACCTTACATTTAATTGTAATTGAAAAAAATTAGGCTAGGGTTGAGCAGCTTTTAGTTTCGCAATTAACAATTCGCAAATGTAATCAAGTGCTTGATCCGGAGATGCTAAAACTACTGGCCGTAATTCTCGCGATTCAGCGTTTCCCTGAAATCCCGCGCATTCCACACCGAACATGGCGGGGGCTCGTGTATCATGGACAACGAGATTGAAGGAGATCTTAAGGGTGATATTCACAGTCCGATCTTATGTATTCGAGACTATCTAAAGTCTGATCATGGAGAATCTTAATCCAGGCAGCATGTCCAAAATTAAGGGCATGAGATGCTCAAAGATTCTTGAGACGAGACACAATTTAGATGCAGTTTAAATATATTTGTGCGCACATTTTGCACATGCCCTCATGCTTTCTGGAAGAATCCAATGATCGTAAATCGTCCTGAGATCGTACTCAATCTTAAACAAAATCGGATTATGAATACCAGCGTTACAACCAGCCAGGTTTCTCATCGGAGATTGATAATCCCTTTAATTTTGTCACGTAATTGTACCAAATATATTTACTCTGCCGTTGAATCTAGGAAAAAGAACAGCCTAAATTGGCCTAAAACAATCGACCGTCTATTTAACTGAATGTTTTTTCCTTCACCTTTTCCCCGATGTTAAACCTCGCGATCACGAGAACTACTCACTACTGTACTATGACTTGAAACGTCCTTACCCCGTAAATGTTTGATTAATGGTAACCAAACGTTTCAAACCCCAAATGAGTCCGAATCGTCCGACACCGGACACGATGAAATGTTCGTGAAAAGTACCTTTCGCTGCGTTTGCACTGCTCTTCGCCTCTTCAACGGAAAACTGAACTAGCCGCTCGTCATCCAATATCTATCGTTGTTCCCACCAGAAAGGATTCTAAGAACGGTCATGCCCACGATTTAGCTGCCGGAGATTGAGCTGATTTCAGCGCCTCTGGAAAGTGGAGATTGAACTACTAACTAAAGAGACCAATGAGAAGCACGCGTGATTGGTCGGTCCAGTGAAAGAAGTGTGAGTGGCTGCGATCAATCGCAATGTACTAATCAAGATGTTCCCGAAGCAATTGTATCGAGTCTACGGATGAAAAAATCGCTAAAAAAATCGATGCAAAAAAAAAGTAAACAAAAATACAAATGTAAATGATTCATCTGAAAAAAAGACATGGGAATCAATAGAAACTTAGGTCCATTTGCATGTCGCGATTGAGTGTAAAAAGGGAAATTAATACATCTGGTGTGACGGATCGCGCGCGAACTGGAAAAACTGGGTGAGAGAGTTCGACGCTCGAGAGACGTCCTTGAGAGCTCAAACGTCGTCGCGGGGCTTTTTCCGCGTGCGCAGGGCAAATAACATAGAATGACAATTCTGCGCCAAGTCGGAGAACGACGAGCAGGAAGATGCTTGACGCGGGCGCGCGGCATGGAGGGAAACGGCGGCGCGCGATTGGCCGGCGCCGCGGACTGGTCGACGTTCGTTCGCGAGATGTGTCATGTGACCCGTTCCTCTATTTATGCAAACATCACCGATCACTGCGGCCCCCGCAGTCTCGTGGCAAAACAATAACAAACGACACACATCGTCACTCCTCCGCGTTTCGACCGATTTCTCGCCCGATTTCCGCGCGCGATTCTCTCCGCGAGTCGTTCGCAGTGTTCGCACGTGCGACGAGAAGTCTGTGGCGAGTAAGATTCGCGCGATCGTAGGCGCGCTCGATCGCGATCGAGGAGGATCCTCGCGCAATCCTCTCCGCGCGAAGCGAAGCCCGTGTCGTGGGCGCGCGAGGCGCGAGTCGGGTCCGACTCCAACGACTCGGGGGGGAAGAAAAAGTGAAACCCAAGCCTGGCCTCGCCGCGCCGCGATGCTGTCAACCACGGAAAATGCCCGCTGACGAGAGACGCGCTATGCGTACGTGCTGCGTGCGCGCGTGGACCAATATGTGATTCCCGACCTGATCGCGCCGCCGTTCTCTCCCCGAGCAGACCAGCTCTGTTTACTAGCGAGGCAGAGAGGCCGTTCTATCCCTCGCCGTGGGGCCTCCTCCGTGTGCTTCGCGAAATCGATTGAGCGACAACGAGGTGAGCGCGGACGAGTCAAAAACTGTACGGTGCAACTCGCTCGGGCCCAGGCGAGATAAGCCCCCGCGCGTTTCCTTTTTCTCTTTCGTTATCGTATTCTGCTTAACGCGCGTAATAACGCCGTCGTCGCTCGCATACTCGTTCACTCGTCTGTACTTGTCTACGATATATTCATCGTTCGAAGATTCGAGGTTGAACGACGAATAGATCGAGCTTGAGATTTGTTTTGTCCAACAAACTTTCCTGTTTTGTGTTCCTTTGTGTAGAGGAGCGCATCTCAGTTTCCAGAACTGCAGCGTGCTCGAAACGCGCGCGCCTTACCGCGGTTTCCACATCGACGGACTCCAAGTAGCCGATGGACGACTCCAAGTACAGCGACTTCTCGCTAACTGGCACGATGGATAGTATAGTAAAGCAGGAACCTGTTCAGGAAATGAATTCGGCATCGGCGTCCGTGCCGATACCTGGAGGACACAGGGGCACCACGCGAGGAACGTACGATCAGTTCTCGCCGTCCCCTCTGGCGGTCTCCTCCGGATGGGATATGAGGGCCGAACAAATGGATTATCCTTTCAAAATGGATCCGGATCAGATGGACATCTCGTTTAAGATGGATGAGGACGATATATTCCAGGTGGACAAAGCTGAGCTTATTCAAGGTCCGACTCTGGCTGAGTTGAACGCCAACGACGATACCCTGCTGGGCGATTTAAATTTCGACGATTTATTGCTGCCCGAGGAAAGGGTACAGCCGATAAAAATGGAATACACCGCTCCGTTGACTGGCTCTCTGTTTAGTAGTAGCATAGGATTTGCGCCTAGTAGTTTTCCCCAATCCGGAGTAACTCACCGTAGTTGTCCCACATATACAAATACATGTGGCTTTAATTTAAATAGAGATTCAAACATTGGGGATAATGCGGAAGCCGTTAGTCCTACTGCATTTCCTAGTCCAGGCACTAGTAACATCGCAGGTACGTCTGAACAGTTGAGTTTTATCGTTTAATAGTAATAATAAATCAAGAATATTTTTAATAAATAAAAGCAATTAAGATAATAGTATTATGTTGCTTATTTACATAAATATGATTTTTTTTATTTACTGTTTATTGATAAGAATGACAATGGTATTGTAATACATTTAGGTAGTTCAACAGCAAGCTCATCGACTTCGCCTCATCCTGTAACTCGGCCCATTGGATCGTCTACTTTACACGAGCTACTTATGAAAAGAGGTGAAAATCCATTTAATAATCCAGTTTCCAATCAAATGGATAATATCTCAACGATAGGCGGTAAATCTAAAGTTTCGAGACTGTCTATGTCTGCGCCAACGCAGACAATGGGACATTTGGATCAAATCTGGGCCCACAGAGAACCACGACAACATCTCTTGAGTACCGGTAGCTTGGTAGAGGCGGGATCGACGAGTAGTTTGAGCACTGGAGGTGCCCTTAGCCCAGATCCACTCTGTGTTGATCCTCTTAGCCATGACGAAGGTTATGAAGACAGTGATGATGACAGTGATCACTATGATGACTACAGCAGCGACGATGGTATCTATGTAGTCATATGATTTATTCGTGATTATTATTTGATCTTTTATACAACGAGAATAAATTTACTAAATTCATCTTATATTTTTGTTGAATATTCATTAAAAAAAAGTGTCAAAATGTAGATAGCTAAATCATCGTTTATCTATCAGACACAGGTGGAAGCGACGGTGAGGAACAGAGTAACATTAAAACATTAGGAAGAGCAACGGAAATAGGAAAGGAAATCAGACACAGTAAGAAAGAAAGATTCTTCTGGCAATATAACGTTCAAGCAAAGGGACCAAAAGGACAGCGATTGATCGCGCGAGCGCGCCTGGAAGATCCGCATGTCTTGAATGAAGCAACTGATCCAGTATTTAGTCCTCATTGTGCTCTTAGAGGAATTAAACATAGCGGAAAGGCACGGAAAGGCGACGGGAACGATCTTACGCCTAATCCTCGCAAGCTCCACAGCATCGGACGAGAGCTGGACAAATTAAATCGTATTATAAATGATATGACACCTGTTTCAGAATTACCTTTTCCGGCGAGACCGAAGACGCGCAAAGAAAAAAATAAACTAGCTTCACGAGCGTGCCGCTTAAAGAAGAAGGCTCAACATGAAGCTAATAAGATAAAACTACATGGACTTGAACAAGAACACAGTTGAGTAAACGTCGAAATAAAGAATGTGTTAAAATGTATTGTCTTAAACATATTAAGAGGTGAATAATTCTTTTTTTCCAGGACGTCTTATACATGGTATATCACAAATTAAACATATGCTCGCTGCTAAATTGGCTGAAACCAATCCTGACACTCAGGAAGAGCTTACACGACAAATGGAGAAATGTTGCAAGTTAGCTACCAGTGAGTAATATCAATGTTATTTTTTTGCACATGTGTTACATTTTGCAAATGTGTGTAATTCTTTAAATATAAAATCGTCACAGAGATATACGTATAGATAAAACGTATATTAACAAATACTTATATTTTAATATTTACTAATAAAATGTGCAATCTGATTGCAGAAATGCGAATAGCAAATCATTCAACAGAATTTGTGAACAAAGTGTTGGATAATATCAGAGCCGGTATTCCTGACGGTGGCATCGATAATTTTTAATATAGCGAATCGTTTTCCTATAAATCTTATGTCTACGCGTGTATATATCTTTAGGAAAAAAATATGCTATGTCTATACATATATAGGGTAATGTTGCTTTTTATCTTTAAAGTTGCTGTCGAATGCTTCATAAAGCAGACTTGCAGTTAACTTATTGGTTAACGTATAATTAACATATATCTTACATATGTTACTTCAGAAAATGTTTATTGATGTAGATGAGAAACGAAACCTTGACATATGATATTGGTTTAGCTTCCAGACCTTCAAATCGTTAATTTTTTTTCTGCAAAAGTATCTGCATTTTTGCCTGTTGTATATATTGGTCAATCTGTATATAACATTTTTCATGCATCACGTATGATAGTTTCAGTACTGTATTTATATGCAAACAAAGGATGTTTTTTTTTTACAAATTAGCTGCAAATGTATCATTTGTTTAAAAAAAAGAACGGTTATATATCCTGATGAAAGTGCAAAGAAAAAAGTGCCGAATGTCACTTAATAATTATAACATATTAAAGAGAAGAGAGCGATGATATCATCAATGTCCATTATCAATCAACGTTGCACACGTTGTGATTCTAAATTTAATCTTTAAATTGCAATGAATATGCACCAAACGGCAGAACTTTTGGCCACAGATCGATAAAAAAAATATATATATATATATACACATGTTAAATTTAATTATATACTGATTGTATGCAAAATGTATCTGGGTAATTCCTTTTTTCCGAATAGAGGTACTAATTAATTCCATTCTTACGTAATTACTAATGATGATCAAGGTTTCGGAATTATTGATGGCGGCTGATGCAACAATAGTAAGAATTGACATTGATGATTTTTTTTTCTTTTTTAATGTCCAGACGACGCGATGTAGTTTTAATCGTAAAAAGATCTAGAGTGTGCATTTAGATGCACTTAGAAGCGAGCTTTTGAATTATATAGTTGTTTGCTGTTTGCTGACTCGATCTACCTCAGAACGAAACGCTATACCTACGTACATATATATATTTGGATTATATAAAACATAAAGTATAATGAATATAATGATGTATGTGGAAAGATTGTAATCGTGGCGCGAGGTGGAATATCATTGCTTTAGAGTTTTTAGAAGAGAGGACGGATGTAGCGTGTAGCGCCTACACTCTCTTCTGTTCGACGATCGTTTAGAGCCATTGTGTACGCCGCGATTAGAATTATAATTATATTTTGCTAATCACTAATATACACATACATATATTTTAAATATGCAAGATGTTAATCCATATTCGTACTAATATTTTTTTAATCGATTTTTGTATGTAAAGTTGCGCTATAAAGATCATAGTAATTATATTGAAAGGAAATAAAAAAAAACGTGTGGATATATAGTCATACGATTATATACATATATAAATACAGATGTTGTATAATCTTTATCGAATCGTTATGCAGTCTAATTTATTGTTATGCGGGGGGTACCACCGTAGGTTTCATTCGCTGTGTATTTTACGTCGGCAAAAAAGTTAAATATGTGTAATATCAGTGTAAGCACGAGAGAGGGGGGGAGAGAGAGAGAGAGAGAGAGACGCGTCACTTCGATATCACCGTAATCGCACAAGCGTACGGAAAATGTTGCGTGTAATAAGAATCCTTCTTTCATGGTGTGCAATACGCGCATTCGTGTGTGCGAAAAAAAGCGTCACTTTATTGTTTTCGATGATGACCCCGATACTTTTACGATGATATGCTTGCGTTCGTTCACTCGCTCGCTCGCTCGCGCATTCGTTGCCTGCGTCTTCGTCGAGGACAAATGCGCACAAACCCTTCGTCATCGTGCGCGGGTCAGTGTAAAAATGTAATGAAATTGCAGTTAGCGTGCGAGTGCATTCCTGGCGTTAATCGTGCTAATCGAGTACGGCAAACGACCCGAAGAATAAACCGATCAGAATGTGTAATGATTGAATTATCATTTTTATTCTAATAAAAAAACACATGCGAACGGCAAGCGAATTTTTTATTGCGACCAATTTAAAGATAACAAGTATATACATATATATTATGTTTGAAATAATAATATATCTCGAAGCAAGATTATGTATGTCTACGTAATTAATGGAAAATTAATAAAATTTAATACGTACGGGGTGGGCGAAAGAAAAAAGTTTGAGATATTAATTAAATTTAATAAATGAGGTATACGAATATTTGTTATGAAAGTTGCGAGATTTCACGAAAGAGAGTGATACAGCACTGCTCGCGATTAGTCATCCATCGTACGATCGGTCGTTCTCATTTAATTGATATGACTCGACGTGACTTCGGTGTTAAGTCATCCGATTTCCGCGTGTTCGTTTTTCGATACGAACATCGCCATATCATGGATGTTACACGCGCGCTTCGTGTGTATATCTCTGCGAATTGATCAAAATCGAAAACAATTGGCATGTAACGTGAATATCCATATAAATCGTGAAATAACATATCAGTAATATGTTGCAACATTGCGTAAAACGTTTCAAAATTAACTGCACTTCTAAAACAAATTTTTCACAAAATATTGAATGACGAGAATATTCGGATGAGATCGATTATTTTAAGACTTGAGTATCCTAGACTCTTTCGAGATAAAGTTTTGTCTATATGCGTGTGTTTGTATGCGTGTGAGGATACACAGAAAAAAAATTTTCTAAAGATCGATTAGTTTTCGTGACTATATACATTAAAATTTAACTGATCAGTTATTTGATCGTAATATATTTATTTTACTATTTATTATTAAATATATGCACATATATCGTCTATACGTATACGACAAATTATTCGATTTTAATGTAAAACTGCACTTCTATTATTAGTATATCCACGATTATTCATGCGAGCGATAACTGGAAAAAGAAGTGTAATTTTACTGATTTTACACATACATACATTATTGCGTCACAAATATGTGTGCATGCTTATTTATGAAAGAATGAGAACTAATTTTTCATATATACATACATATATATATACTATATATATTTATCGACGGTTAAAACAATCGATAATGTCTGTACTCTGCAATTATCCCTCGACCGACTCGATAATCACGGCGTTCTGTATTATCGACTTTTTCCGGCTGAAAACTGAGGTTATGTTACACTTGTCGACATTTCAGACCGCGAGCCCCGCGCGAGGTTTCGTGAGTTTCGTCTCGGCCGACTGGCTTCGATCTCGTTGACGAGCACGAACCCCAAAGTGTTGGAGGAAGGGGATATACACAGCCTATACGGTGCGCGTGATATCCCCCGCGAGAGAACGTAGAGATGCCCGTTCTCGCACGTATTCCGCGCCAAGATCGCCGAGTCGCATGACGATCAATGACGATTTCGCACGGCACGTAAACGCCTGCACGCCCGCAGTTATGCGCTTCCATTGTGAGAATACAAGTGCTTTATGGTGATAATATGTCAAAACCAAACATAAGGAAGATAACGGCTGACCCTACGAAATGTAATACAGACTCCTCACGACGGCCGAGTGTGTTTGAGAGGTTGGGCACCAAACCAGCGATCGCCGCTGCCGCCGCTGCCGCCGCCGCCGCCGCCGCTCAGAATACATCGGATTATTGCAGAAATTGGGCCCTCAACGGCAGTTGTTCCTACGGAAAGAGTTGCAAGTGAGTCGCCAATTTTCATTTGTCACAACTCCTCGCCGATGGTGCACAGTAGTTTGTGCTCGACTGATCGATCGTTGAATGAAGATTTTACACATAAAAAAACAATTAATTTTCGCATTGCAACACGGAGACAATGTAAAGACAAATTTTTGGAGCGTACGGCTAATTATTTTATAATTTATTATCGTGGCCCAAGTGATACGAGTAAAATAAGCTCCGTTGTAGCTTTAGACTTGGGCTGTGTTTGTTTTGGCGCTTACAGCAACATTTCATCTTTGTTGCTTGTTCAAATGTTAAAAGACAAATGATGTTCACAAGCGCTGTAAGCGCCAAACCGAACGCAGCCTTGCTCCAATATTTCGGACAAGTGTTTAGATTTATCAGGATCGTTTATTTTATAAATACTTACGTAAAATTCAATTCGAGGACTAGTATCTTATAAAATTTGATTTAAATTTCTATTCTTGATTAAAGCACACTGCTGGTTAAGCTAATGCAAGTTCTCTTGTTTGTTAATTAGATACGCAAACACACACACATTGATAAGCCCATCCAAGCGTGCTAAGAAAGATAATGCGATCGCAGGCACATCCGGGGTAAGCACATGTCATATTCTTCTGTTTAATAATTTTATTTGATATACATATCTATTTCCTGAATTGCAGCATAATTAATGAGAGTTAGTAATTGTAAATGATTAACTGTAAATTTAAGTTAAGGATTTTTGTTTGATCCTCTCGGTAATTGCAGCTCATTGAGGATCCTTTTAAACGGCTCACATCGAAGATCGTGAAGAAGGCGTCGCACAGCCCGGACTTAAACATAGAAGAGTGGAATCAGACAGATCTCGAGTACGAGGACGAGAAGGTATTGGAGAGACGGCGGCAATTGTTACAACGGGAACTGGAATTACAAATGAAGAAGGACAAAGAGGTACATGGCAAGGATAAAGTAAGGCAGAAGAAAAAAGCGATGAGCTCATCCTCTAGTTCACGCACATCCAGCACGTCTAGCAGTAGCAGCAGCTCCAGCAGCGAAGACTCGTCTTCCACATCGACGTCGGACTCACACAAGAAAATCAAAAAGATCAAGACCAAGAGACACCATAGTATTTCCGCCGACTATAGCGAGGACAAAGAAAGAAAGAGAAAGTAAGCACTTATTTAATATACAAAACATAAATATGTAATCGCGAGTATTTATAAACAAAGCAGACATCATGTAATTTTAATTTACAACATTTAGAAAAAGTAATATATTATTTCATTACTAGAGAATTATTATATTGCTTGTTATTGTGTTTATATTGTTTATATTTTTTAAATCGAATTGCTATGAATGGATCTTACAGATTGAAGCTCAAGAGACTAGGAACGAGAAACGACAAAGCCGTCAACAAGAAAAAACGCAAACTCGACAATTCCACGAAGAAGGATCTTACCACGAGATCGGTCAAGAAGTATGGTACGTCGACTGTATCCAGGAAACATTCTAGCTCATTGCGCGCTAGATCACCCACGATACAGCAGGGATCTACGAGCGGAGTTACGTCTGCGACAGCCGCAACGTTGGGCTCGCAGGTTTCTGTAGCGCATCACGCGCCGTCGTCCAGCAAGATCCGGGAAAGAAACAGGAGTGAATCGCCGAAAGCAGTAAAGAGTAATCGGGAAGTGGACAGCAAGGAGGACGGTAGGCATTACAAGAAGGTGCGTGATATGGATGAGTGTCTGCCCAAGGACGCTGTCAAGTGCAAGTCATTTGATAAGATCAAGGAGCAACAGGAGAAAGAAAAGAACCGTGCTATCGACGAGAAAACCAAATCGGACGATCGGTTGAGATCTAAATGCAAGGACAAGGACGTGCGTTCGCGTACGCCGCCGCCGCCGCCGCCATCGTCATCGGAACGCTCGTCCAAGTACCAGCACATTAAGGAGAACGCGTCGTCGAAAATACAACGCAGTCGGACGCCGTCGAGGACAAGGCGCGATCTCACGCCGGCGAAGAATCCTGAGAAACAAGGCAACTCGTCGAATCGCATGAGGGACGCAGAGAAGAAAGATCGCGACTCGCACAAGAGGGATAAAAGCAAAGAACGGGATGACGCGAGAAAAAACGAGCAGACGTCTACCGGCAAAGGAAAACAAACGATCACCTCGAATCAAGACGACAGCTATCGAAGGAGCAACACGAGCAAGGATAATTTTGATGACAAGACCTATGGCGGCGACAAAGCGCGACAGAAAAGTCGCGAACGTCAACGTGAGAAAGAGACGAGAGACGAGACGCGCCCAAGATTGACTCGTGATCAACGCCAAGAGCCTCAGCGCGACAAGGATAAGGACGAATCTCAGGAGCGCTGTCGCAACGAGAGGCAGCGCGAACGAGATCGTGATCGGGATCGAGATCGCGAGAGAGAACGCGAACGCGATAGAGAGAGGGATAGGGATCGCGAGCGAGAACGGGAGCGGGATCGCGAGCGGGAGAGAGACCGAGAGATACGAGAGCGGGATCGCGACCGGGATCGAGAAAGGGAGAAGTCTATGAAGTCACGAGAAAGGGACGTGCCCGCGGTAATTTCGCCCGCGGCGTTGAGCCTATCGGCGGACAAGGGTTCGCGTTACAGCGGTAGAATCAAAGAACGACCCCTGGGCAAGGATGTGCCGTTTGAAAAGAGCGGCGGCACTCGCGAGCGAAGCAGGAGCGAACGGGAACGCGAACGATCCGAAACGAAGGCTCTCACCGAGCGGGAACGAGGCTCCGCGCAGTCACGTCTGGACGGGAGGTACGAGAGAAGTGGCGTTGTCGAGAAGGATGTGTCGTCGAGCCGCAGCAAGTCGACCGTCAATTCGCCTCGGGATCGCATGGATCGTTTTCGGGAAACGTCTCTGGATCGTGCATCCTTGCACGAGAAAAGCGGACACGTCGCGACGTCGTCGAGCATTCAGTCAGCGGCGACATTGCCGCCCGTGCCTTCGGCCTCGTCCTCCTCGTCGGTAGTGCAAGCTGTGACACCCGCTCTCTCATCATCTCGCGATCATCTTATGGATATGGACGGACACTACGACAGGGACCGGCACAGAAGGTTCGGCGTGAGATACGAACGGGCTCACACGTCGGAGCACAGCGGCAGAAAGGACCAGGCGCGAATCGAATCGAGTCGCGTTCCGAGCAAGATCGACCGAATAGTGGATCGTCGGGACACGAACAGCCCGCGACGCGCCATAGAGGTGGACAGGAACTTTGGTAGGAACTACGGCAGAATGCCGGAGCACTGGGAAGAGCATTCGGAGGAATCGGCTCCGCACGTCGAGTATCGGGATCACGCTCACATCCACGAGGATGACAGGAGAAAGACTATCGAGGGCAGACGATACGACAGTCCCTTTGAGGAGAGACGCGTCGCTCGCGACGAGAGACCCAGAGAGTCGAGATACGTCATCCAGACTACAGAGCGAGCATCCTTCGACGATCATCGTCATCATCACCATCATCATCGACATCCTTTGTATCCTGGTGATAAGTTGAGAAGTGGTGGATCCAGTATTAGGTAATGTTATGAATTGAAAAAATATTCTCTTTTGCGTTTTGAATATAAATTAGATCGAGAAGATATTGAATTACTTTTCTATGTTTTTCCTCTTCAATCCTTCATCTTTTTCATATTATTATTCATGTAAATTTTCTATTTCAGAGATGAAACTGTTTCTAACGATAATTGGGAAGGACATCACCGTGACGTGGAGCACGGTCGAGACCGTGGTTATCAAACGGTAGAATGGGAGGAGAGGGAATGGCGCACTAGAACATTATGGGAAGGCAGAGACAGTCTTCCTCGTTCGGAGATACATGACGACGAGTGGAATTCTCGATATGAAAATCCTGTAAACGAGTGGAAATCCAACGAGACGCGGAAGTGGGATAATCAGAATGTTCACGTTCGATCGCATTATAGGAACGAGCGCACGAAGGACTTGGAGCACGGAGAATCTACACAACATAGGTAAACATACAGAGAGGGTGTATCGTCTTATAGATTATGAAAATAATTTAAAAAATATATATATATATATCTGTTCTATTAATTAAAGCATATTAATTGAAATTTTAATTCTTACAGCAAGAGACGATCGTACAATGCGCCGGAAGCAAGAGAAGAGCCGACGATTCATCCTGCTGCTAAGCAAGCAGCTATTTACGGCAGCATGAAAGAAGAACCTATCAACAAGAAGCTGATGGAACTAGCTGAAGGTAGATTGTGCACTACTAGAGAAAAATCCACGGATAATTTTCAAAAGAAGAATCAACATCAGCCAAAGGATAAATCCGAAATCAAGGAACCCATTGTGGTAGAACCAAAACGTCCCATCGCTGATGAGTCCTTGCAGACCCTTCATACCGAGAGCGACTTGAGTGATATTAGCGATGATCCTGATGATATATTGAATATGGAAGAAGATACCACGGTAAATATATCCTACATTTTTGTTTCTTTTTTTGTTTTACTAGTACATAACAGGCGCGCGCGCTGCGTATTGAATCCCATATATCTTCCAATAACATTTATACCAATTTACATTTTAATTAAACAAATTTTAACAACTTTTGATAAAAAATTAATTTAAAACAAAAACGACGCTTTGCGCGGTGCGTATTAAACTCCATACATCTTTCAATAACATTTATACCAAATTACATTTTAATTAAACAAATTTTAACAATTTTCATTAAAATGACGTTTTAATCGGCCATATTGAATCGGCCATTTTTAAATAAAATCACATTTCTTAAAAAATAGCCACATAATTTATCTTTATGATGAGCCCAGAAAGAAGTCTATATCTTTATTTTTCTGGAAGATATGAATTTTTAAACATTGGGGAAAAGAGGCTTCAACGCAGGTAACGCGACAATTTTAAGATAGGATTTCGAAATTTGAAGCTCACATTTTTATAATTTTTCAACAGGATATGGAAACTAATAAAACACGGACGAATAAGAAAGCAGCAGATGCTGCGCATCGCGATACGCAGTCAACTGTACAAGAGCCAGCTCAGTTATCTCCGAAAGAACCTGCGGAAGAAACTATTTTTAGTTCAAAATCTAAGGATACTGCCGATACAGTATCACTGAAGTAAGATATACAGATTATAAAATGTTAATCACAAAAAAAGATAAAGTGTTTCTATTAAAAAAAATTATTTAATATTAAGTTAGTAATTTGTTGTATGAGAGAAAAATATCGTATCTTTTTGAAAAATTTAAATGCGTTTGCTTCAGATTGTTTTATTTATGCGAAAAATCTAAACTATTACGTTCATTTCATATATGGCTCTCTCTGTTATATTAGAAATATGGAAGACGACAACATGGAAACTATGGACTTCGAAGAAATTTCTGATGGCGAGCTAGAGGAGGACATCAAAACGAGCGGGAAAGGATTAGGTGATGCCTTAGGAGTCGATTGGGAATCTCTCGTGAAAGAAACTCAAGCGAGGAGAATTGCCCCGTCCAATCAAGACTCTGCAGAGAATCGATGGCAGTGTAAAGCTATTTTCTATAGAATCGGTATATCTAAGAAGTATGCGGGTGAAGATTTTGTGAAAAAGTTGCTAAAAAAGTATGAGAAGAACGGTGAGTTTCAGTGTGGTTTCATTAAAATCAGACATAAATATCTGTGCAAACAATTTTTAATTTTTTTCTCTTACAGATCATAAAGAATTTTTGTTGAATGATATTGCGCTAATGCACACAGCGCTCGCGCGGAATCGGTTGCTTCAAGATTTAGGTAATGGCGCGGTGCATGCTATAGATGATACTTTGTATAGGTAAGGTTTTAAATTATGCTTATGTTTAAGAGCAAATTGCAAAATTTGTATTATATATCGCGTTATGAATATCAATTATATTATAAAACTTAACGTGTAATTATTAATATAATCAAAAATTTTATTGCAGAAACAATAATGCAAGTTACGATGAAGATGTGGACTATGATTGGGAAACGCTGAAGCCCAGTACTGCCTTATACGAAGAAGCGAAATGTTTATTACAGCAAGTAACATGAAAAAGTAATTAGATTTGTACATAACGTTATGAATGGTTACATGTTTTTTTTGTATTCTACATAAAGTTTATTATACATACAGAATGGGATGTATGGTACAAGCAAAAGTTTCTACAATAATTTAAATTATTTTATTAAATGGAATGTATGTACATTATGTATTAATAGCCACTATATCGAGATAAATTTGAAAACACAAAATTGAAGAATATATAAGAAGCTATTAACTTTCAAAATCATGTTTTTGAAATAAGAGTTATATTTAAAAATGAAGATTTATATTTTTAAAAATTGTATATTTTATTCCGCTGCAAAGTATCACTCTTGCCAATCATGCTACCTATTTCGTCTCACTCTGTATATACGAACAGTTGATTTGGTGTCAAAACAGTCGATTGCATTAGTCGCTTTTGCGAACACAGGCTGCGCCAACATCGTTTTGTAATATATTCATTGCCTTTCGTAATAATCGTTCAGTATCATCGTTCTAAAAGAAACAAGATTTAAAATGATAATTAGGATATATAGTAAACATAAATTATTCGTCGTACTTTTGTGTACGGATGTGTCTGTCCGTCGTTGTCATCGGAAATCTGACGTTTAAACAATTCAAGATTTGTACGATACAACTCGTATAAAACAAGACCTAGAATATATTAGAAATACATTTTTAAAAATGTTAATTTTTTTATTTTACTTATAAAATAATATTCTATTTTCAAGAATTATATAATATGTGCTAAGATTTCCTGAAATCTTATTTTGACATAAATTAGTTAATATATTACATATAGAGATCCTAATATACATAGAAAAGAAGCAATGCCTGTATCATATTACAATACCTTTTTTAATAGAATCTCCAGAACCCAAAATATCTAAAGCAGAAAGTATATTGTCACAATATAACTTTTTAATTCTAAGTTCTGCATCTGTGAGATCTGTAGTAATACGAATTACATTTCATTATAGCATACACATTATTGTGCAATATAAAGGTAAAAGACTTATAATATTCACAGTAATATTTATGAAAAATATAATATACACATCTTACCTTCCCATTTGAGATCAGGGTCTCTGCCAAAATAGGAGATTATACGATACTTGACATCCAACGTAATGTAATTAGTGGCGGGTACCAATCTCGATAATACTGTTTCTATAAATCTTAGAATTTCTCGCGGACTTTTGTACATAGCGTCGGATACAAATGTGTTCAATCCTGAATGAATACATTCGATCTGTAAACAGATGTGAAACTTACATTCACAGAAGAAATCAAGATAGACGGTATTGATGGTATTGTAGAGATATTTCAATTTTAATCATATAGATATATGATCATGCAAATGCAAATGTGCGAACACCTTATCAATATGTATCAATAAATTATTCCCTGGAAATCAATAATCACATAAAAACATTTATTCTCTGTAGGAAAAGTCGTTAAAGATTTATTTATTTTTCCGACATATAAAAATATAGCGTTATATTTCAGCTTTTAGATAATACCTGTCTGTGATTTATGCTGGTCTGGCACTTGTCGCAAATCCAGGATGACTCACGATTGAGAGGATTACGAGGTAGCAAATATCCCGAACAATCGTCCTTTGCGCAGAGAAGCGCACCGAGCTGAGAACCGAATTCCTAAGAGAAATAAAAATGTCTCGAATGTGTCGTGAACTGCGAAAGACTGTCGTAGTGCTGACGTACCAGAGGATCGGAGCATCTGTTGCAATTGCAAGAGAAACGTTTGGTGACTCTTAAGAACTGCCTTCTGCTCGATGTGTCCCACAGCAGATCGGTGTAAGTCATAGTAATCTCCTCGCCAGCGGCGATGGGCAGCGCGGCGCTCACGTGCAGCCGTTGCTGGTCGTCAAAGTGATGTCTGGTATTCGGCACGCAGCAATGATTCTGCAATGCGCCCATTGGATAAAGACCACGTAAACTCGTGGTGCGGTCCTCGTCCCGCGAAGGTACAACCACAACTTCGAATGAATTTGTATTGAAAACGCCGCAAGTGCGTCTCATGAGCTCCATTTCCTCCTCGTTGGGAAGATTGGCCACGTTTCTCTTGAGCAAGTCGATCTTTGGTATAAGTTATTGATGAACACGTTATAAGAAGTTCCATTTTGTATATTATACGCGTGATATTTTTTTACAGATATTACATGAAATAATATTACATGAAAAAATTATTAGGAAAACACAATAGACTAAGCAAAATCATTTAGTGTTGCTTAGAACTATATAAATCATATTTCTTAATCAGGATTTACAATAATAGATGAACGTATGAAGATAGATTCAAGAAAGAAAGAAAATATAAAACAATATTATTTATGAAATTTTAGCTAATATTATGCATTTTCTATAAAGCTACAGAAATATTTACTGCACAAATGGAATCTATATAGGATCTATTATAGGATGTCTTGGAAAAAAAACATACCTCGTAATTGCGAGTAAGATTAGCATGGCACTCAAAAGCGTACAAGAGTTTACGTTGCTCTTTCGACAATGTGAGACCACGTATCGGCACCACTGCGAGTAGCAGGTCCTTGGACCAGGTAGAGCCGCAGGTTGGTGCCCATCCTCTCAGAAATTTGCATTCCCCTTGGACATGCACTGCGGAATTCTCGCATTCTGCAGAACAGATCGGCAAACCGCAGCCGTGATCGCAGGGGAACAGAGCGCAATCGCTCTTGTAACAAACAACACACATTGGCAAGTACTTTTTGTGGCATCGCGGTCCTATTAACAACGGGACGTCTGTGAAGATCAGCTCGCCGGCTCGTATGTCTCGCGTGGCAAATACGCCGCGACCTCCGAGAGGAGAACGATCGACGATCCATGACCTGGGCTCATCTTGCAAGAGATTATTCTCTCGCAGATGAGTCTTGAGTAACTCTTCTGTCTCGCGCGGTTCCATCTGGACCACAGACGTGCTTTGCGTATAAGTTTTCCTCTCGATCCTTCCCCTCGACGCTTCGATCTTTTATACGGACGAAACGTATCAGTTCACGGCACCGAGCCAGTTTCGTATAACTAAGCTAGAAAAATCTTGTTTTATTGACTGGCACAAATAGCAAATAGATTTTGAGCGGATCTTACATTGTTTAAAGCAGAGGTTCTCCCTCAAACTGACATAACTTGTGCTAAGTTTCAGTTTCCAATCGTTACAAATATAAAAAGTTATCCATAGATTTGTCTTAGAATTTTTTTAATTGACCAGGAAATTTCCAGATTTGACGAACTTGAGAAAGGTTGATGCTCACGAAAAATATAACTTGACGCCAGATTGCAACGTCGAAGTATCATCGCCACACGGGGATATTTATATGCGTCCTTTATCAGACGTGACATACCGCACACTGGTGCTAGAAGTATCAGAGAGTTTTGGCATTCGTAACAGTATATGGATCGTCTTACGAATTAATTATATAATTAGAACTGGGATTAATATATTACGAAGTCGAGAGGCGCGCTAATATTGGAGGCACGCGAGTGGCACTGTTTTACGAGTAGCGTGCGCTCGTTATAAATCTTAACTTAAAATAGAATTATAATGCGGCGTCACATCGATACCGAAAAGCAGCCAACTTGCCTATCTGCTTACGCATTTCGAGAAACGTCAACAGGTTGCAAATGAGCTATTTAAATATACGAGTAAACAATTTGTGTGAAAATCCATAATTAGGAGAAAGCGGAGGATATTGTTAATTTTATATATATATATATATATATATATATAATGTTAATTTTATATATATATATATATATATATATATATATATATAAAATTAACAATATCCTCCGCTTTCTCCTAATTATGGATTTTTACACAAATTGTTTACTCGTATATTTAAATAGCTCATTTGTATATTTAAATAGCTCATGTATATATATATATATATATATCTGCATCTATTTTTGCATCAAAGTTTTCCATAAAGTTCGTTCAACGCGATGTAACAATACCGTCACGGCCTTGCACCATGGTCGCAAACATATCGATTTACTCTGTAAACGCGTAATATTGATCGGTTTCCCGACTTGCTCGCCTGACTAAAAAGTCTCTCGTGCTCTGTAGTTTGCAAACATTTATAGTTTGCAAAGAACTACTAAATCTTACATTTATTTTTATCGTAACGAAAAATCAACAGTTACAGAAAATTGCTACCACGCGAGTTATAGCAGTAATAAAGAAAAGAAGTTTCAAACTCTTGAGTTCGCAGATTGCAGACGCACTCTACGACCCTGTGGCAAAGAAATCCAAGAAATATATCTTTCTCTATTAATAAATTTTATTTATATAATAGTAACGTCAGAATTAATGTCAATATGATTGCTTCACGCAAGCGTACGACATGTAATAGTTATTTGTATGGGTCGGGCGTTGCTAAGACTACGGATGAAGTTCTCGTCGTCGACAGGGTATCGTGAACGGCATCGCCAAGAACGGCGTGCATACGACGTATATACACGGCCTATGCCGCGCTAGCGATATATGCCTATGGCATATCGTAACTGGTGTACACAGGGATTGTCGAAAGTGCCGTGTTTCTCGACGACTCGCGTTTTCCCTTTTTTTTCTATTGCCCACCGTCGCACAGAAATGGGAAGGTAATGGAAAAGGATGATCCGTCCTTTTCTTCTTTCGGCGAGTCCGTTCCGCTTTTCAATCCTTTCAGGGACCGTATGACATTCTCGTATCGATCAAGTGTAATTAATTTTCCCACCGCGGCGTTTTAGCTGAGGGCTAACGCAATGCCAAAATTCACAAGAAAGGTCACGGACGAACGTTGGCACAGTGACGTGACTCAAAACCGTATTGTTGCTCCAATTTAATCGAACCTTTATATCGAAACAACTAATGCTTGAAATCAAGCTCGATTTTTTCCAATCTTACTTAATTGAATATATATTTCTCTGTAGATGAAAAATTCTAATATAAATATTTTTCTATATTTGCTTAATTGTTGTATTAACATAATCAATTGTTTCCAATTCTTTAATTCACTCTGATGCAACTTGTTAATAATATATTAATTTATATAGAAACGTTAATCATATATTGATTTGACGATTTCCTTATTTATTAGATTTCTTCAATCTATAATAAAGTTATAAATATTATTTAATAAATATATATGATTGGTACCTGAAGAATGTACCTTATGTTGATCGTATTTGCAAGATTACTGTATCATTCAATACGAAACAAATAGATCTATATTTCATTAATTTACATTATGTAACGGCTTTAAAACTTCTTTTATATATGATATATATAGTAAACATAACGTATACACATATGCATATACATACTCTAGCGCGCGTGCACACATTATATACATTTACACATTAGCGACAAATCGACATGTGTGTATGTATATCATGCTATAATCATGCTGTAAAGGTATGTAGGGCTACTTAGACTGGCTTATAAGTGGAGTTACGATTCATCATCTGAGAAGACCACGTGTAAAAATATTTTTACTCTGGTAGTACTGTCGACCGTGATTACGGTGTTTGCATTAGGATCGGATTGTAGCGGGGATCCTTGCATGTATGGAATTTGTTTGGACAACGAGACCAGGTACATAATTTTACGCTTGATAGAAGCACGCGTTCTGATAATCTGAGAATCAGGTGCAATTTTGTGGGTATAAGACAAATATAACTCACACTGTAGAGAAGATAAATTTAGAGTATTTGCTCATTAGTATTCTTAGAAACTGACATGAAAAACAAGATAAAATTATATTATTAATTTATTGAGATTAATCATCAATAACTAATCGTCTATAAAAAATATTGTGTATAATCATTTTGTTAAAAACACAAATATTTTTGTCTAATAAATATTTGCAAATTATATGCAAATAAATTTGAGCAAAAATAGCTTATAGAGATTTAATGTCATTTATAGTTTTTTAGTATTACTGATTAATTTAAAAATACATACAAATCAAAATTATTAAAATTATTTGCATTTTATGATTTTTTATGGACGACACAGCACTTATTCTTGTTACTGCATCGATGGTTACACGGGGATTAATTGCGAAATTAATTGGGACGAATGCTGGTCAGATCCTTGTCTTAATGGTGGCACATGCAACGACGGCGTTGCCGCATATAATTGCACCTGCCTCGACGGTTTCGTAGGTAATTCATTTTTCTTCGTCATATCGTTCGTTATAAGTTAATATATGAGAAATTGATGAAAATATGCATACCCCATTTTAAATGACAGGTGTAAATTGCGAGCAAAGATATAGCGAGTGTTCGAATCATCCGTGTCTCAACAATGGTACATGCGTCGATTATGATGGCATCACTTGCCAATGTTTGGATGGATACTCAGGTACGACACGCGTGATGACAAATATATTTAAAAAGTTTCCAGTTTATTATTTTCTTATCTTATTTACAGGAGAATATTGTGAGATCGACGCCTCGGTCTGTAACGAGACAATGTGCAAAAATTCCGGCGAATGTATCGAAGGACCCGGCTTCTCATTTTATTGTCGTTGTCGCGAAGGTAGGAAATGTGCAAGGATATACTTACGCAAGTAAAAATTTTGCTTCTCCGCATTTTTTATTCTCGCGATAATACCTCTATCCTTGATCCCTCTTCTCACGTACGATTTCACGCTTCGAAAAGGGTGGACCGGTGTTCTCTGCGAGGAGGACGTTGACGAATGCTTGGAATCACCATGCAGAAACGGTGGACTCTGCATCAATATTCCATCTTCCTATACTTGCGCTTGTTTATTCGGTAAGCAGATTATTCCTATCCATGAATGGCAGATTTTATTTTATTTTTTTGTCTAAAAATAGCATTTATAATGACATAATAAAAATTCGGATCATGATTGCAAAAATTTTACTACAGTTTCTTATTATTTTCTAATTAAGATTAGCACCAGTATCCTTAAAGAATTTAAACAATAGCACATACCATTTCTTATTTTTCTATAACATTCACATTAATATTTCTTGCTTGTTGTTTTCATCAAAGGTTTTACCGGTAAAGATTGCGACAAGGCAATCGTGCCATGTAAGGATAATTCTTGCCAAAACGGAGCAGTGTGTCTACTGGAGGACGACCGTCCAGTTTGTTACTGCGTGCCCGATTATCACGGTGTACTTTGCGAGCTAAGATACGACGATTGCGAATCAAAATTCGCGCAATGCGACAACGGAGGTACCTGTATCGACGGTATTAATAGCTTCACTTGTTCGTGTCCACCGAATTACGGTGGTCCCATGTGCGAGTACAGTTTTCCCTCGACGACCACTCTGAAAATTGGAGACACATCTGAACGAGGAACGAGTCCAGTTAGAGCTACAACTGCCGCAGTTTTGCCTAAAGAATCGACTTCGTTAGTGGACACATCTGTGTCTTTATCGTCCACATCGACTATCAGCTTCGCTACTTACTCGACGTCCCCGAGAACAAGTAGTTCGCCTTTTACGAAGAAATATACGATTATGGAGAAGACTACGACGTCAAGATACGAGGGCGAGAGTTCTAGTGTTAGCAGCGATAGCAGTGTTTTTCTTACCGAAGTTCCATCAACGAGTTCGACTCGAGTTGATCTCGTTACACCGAAGCCCGTAACGATACCGTCGTCCGTTGGTACTGAAGGCTACTTCCATAAGACTGAGAGAGAGGGTACCGAAATTTATTTGCCAACCGGGAGATCGATTCACGACGGCGACGTTACTAAGGAGCCTGATGACTATGATCAGACAACAAAGATACGTCCGCCGGTTTCTAGCAGAGTGGACGGAGATGTAACGGAATACACGACAAGTTCTAGGTAAATTGAGTTTTTTGTAATTCTTATTAAAAACATTGAGATCGATATATTTGATAGATAATAATATTTTTAATATCAATTTATCAACAATGATAAACGGTACATTCTGTATCATGAGTGCATTTTCATCTCATAACTGACTTAAACATATTCTTTAAATTACGATTCTTTAAATTACTTTAAAAAAATCAAAAATTTTTTTATTATATGGATACACACGATTTATTGTTGATAATTTTCTGTAAATTTCTAATATTCATTATAATCTGTTTTTAGTTATCAACCTACAATAGACACGGATAAAGGCCGAAAGGACGATAAAACTACTACTGCCACAAGTGCTATTATGGATCACGCTACCGATGTAACACTTTCCATCGATACGACATTCCGATACACGACGGATTCCATACAAAATAGGACGTACGATCTTGGAACTACAATCATGGATACACCAAGAACTGTTCTACCTTTAACTACCTCATCGACATTGCCATCGGTCTTATCTTCGACCATCAGTTTTGACACTTCCACGGTACCCTCCTCGTTAACATCCACCAGCGTAACTTCGTTAAGTCAAACTACTGTTACTGGCATCGAAGTTAGTACCACAGAAATCGGCGCTTGTCGCGGAAATCAGTGTTCCACAAGTACTACAGTGTTAACTCCGCAAAATATTACCGAAGTAAGTGGTTCATATAACAAAAAGATAATAATTTGTAGAGAACTTTGAAACTGAAGCTACAGATAATTCTTCCAAACAATCTATAAACAAAAATTAAATATTAAACTAAATTTCTCTAAAAATAAAATATTTACAGTTAATATATCTGTATTACAATTGTTATTCACAGTATGCCGATGGCTGCAAGACGGATTCGACTATCACGCAAGCGGCTTTTAATGGCAAATCTTTCGTTAGACAACGCGTCGAAGTAATCACTGCCAATAGGAGCGCGACGCTCCGAATTTACGTTAAGCTTAGAACGGCATTTAAAAATGGAATAATATTACACGTTTACTTTGACAACGAGAGATATTCTTTGGTATACTTGGAACTTGGATCATTGAAGTTCCAGTTTTCCTGCGGCCTAGAAACTATGTTACTCGGTGAAATCGATGCTATTATCGATAATGGATACGAAGTGGGCATCGATATGAGGTACGTTTTAAATGATTTCAACTTTCTCTGTACTTATTTTCATTACTTAAATCATTAGACATAAAAAAAATTAATCATTTTTTTTAAATTTTTATATGATAATTTTAACAGAAAGGAAACATTTCTTTTTGTTTTGCCACAGCTTTCAATATGTTGCCAATGATGAAAACGAGAAATGTTTCGCCAAATTGCTGGTCAACGGCACTATGGCCGTGACCGGCGAACAAATACTGCCACAGCGAGGAATGGTCCCAAAATACGCTAATTTGTACATAGGAGGTATTCCATTAACGTTCTCACATTACTTTCCTCACGTAGCTATGGGATTCATTGGTTGCATGGATTCCCTGAAGGTACGTTTTAATAACGAATTATTTAGCCATACCAAAGATTTATCTAAAGTTTAATTATTCTGAAATTTTCTCGACTTTTTCGTGATACATCTAAATAATTGCGAAAGCTTTGTTTTTACGCAGAGTGACTCAGTTATTTAAATTTCATTGTAGGTGAATGGCATTACGCGACATTTCATTCACGATTCTCTAGAAACGTTCCAAATCGAAGAATGCACATCATTTTTGTGTTTATCGAACCCATGTCAGAATTTTGGTGCGTGTGAAGAAAGCGAGGGAAGAATTCGTTGTAAATGTATAGCAGGGTAAATATCTATTAAATGACAATTAAATTATTCAAACTTTTAGCTTCTTTATCATACGTTATCTTTATATACATCTAAGTGTAAGATAAATAAATGTAACGAGGGTATAATAAAGAAAGGCGAAATTACGGATAAAAAATAAATGACTCTAATATTAAGTATTAATATTTATCTTCTCAAAGCTAAACAATGTCGATTAACAGTAATCAATCTCAGGGTAGAAGCAACGGTCTTTAAAACATGTTCAGCAGCAAAAACTATTTACAGATATACTGGACCTTTGTGTGAACATTCGGCATGCAACGACAATCCCTGCTCGATGGGTGCGACATGCGTAAGCTCGCCGGGAACTGGTTTCATCTGCGTCTGTCCGCTCGGCAGTCGTGGGCTTTTCTGCGAAGAAGGTAAATCGTAATAATAATGAAACGTTCAATAGACATTCTTATAGATGCGATAGCGACGCAACGAGATCGCGATGCAACAAAATTTTTACAAAGCGATTTTTACTCATTCTCTCAGATGCCGTCCTAGTGCGGCCGGCCTTCTCGGTCCTCGTCCCTGGCTTCGCGTCGTACATCGCTTACGGCTTGTCTACTTCGATAAAGGACACAATGGAGCTGAAGCTGCGACTCATCCCGCGCACGTTCGATCAAATCTCTCTGATAGCGTATCTCGGACAGAGAAGCTCGCGCCGTGATGTCTCGGATCATCTATCGATAACGTTCGTGCGCGGCTACATTATGCTTACGTGGGATTTAGGCTCCGGTGAGGGATTACATATCCTTTTCAGTCATATCTTAAATAACAAATCGCACAGGTGTACATTTGTGAGTTTAGAAAATATCTAGGAAATAATAATTTATATAACTATAAGAATAAAAATTTGCTTCTCATAGAAAAATATATACTGAAATATATATTCAATTATATACAGTTTTGGCGTAGAAAATTTAAAGAATTATATTTCATTGTTATAATCTTTCGATAGGAGTGCGAAGAATCTTCACTAGCGATTCGTTGACCTCTCTAAGCGTGGCAGGATCGGCTGGTAAAAGTAAAACGTATACTCTTCGTATCGGAAGGAGAGGCAAGGAAGCGTGGCTTGCTGTGGAGGGTCTCAAAAACGTGACTGGTCAGGCGGTAGGATCTATGACTCAACTCGACGTATCGCCTGTTCTCTATATCGGTACGTTGTTGCAGAGAAGAGCGGCTTGACATTTGGCATAATGTCAGCACTCACATATCGTCTTTTATCATATATTTTATGCTAAATGTAGCTATTCAATTTCTCATCACTCACATCTGACGTTGACATTAAACACAATCTGGACGTCTCGAATGAATAGGAGTTGAAATGAGACGATGTTTAACGTGAAATACGAATGATAAATAAATAAATAAAAATAGATAGAAAGGAAATATTTTTTCTTTCAGGTGGTTACAAGTCCAAAAATTTCGAAACGTTGCCGCACGACCTTCCTCTACATACCGGCTTCTCCGGATGTATATTCGACGTCGAATTGCGTACAGACACGACGATTCTTCCGCTGACCGGTTCCAGTCCTGCCACCGGCCGCGGCGTAGGCGAATGCAATCGCAACGAATGCATTCGTCACTCGTGCAAGAACGGTGCGGTATGTTTACATCATGGAGCATCGTACAGGTAATATGCGAGAGAAATTGCAATTTTTTATTTTACATAATAGGAAGGTGTAAGATATCCCCTATGTGGTTACAGAATCATAATCATTCTATATATCTATTATGAATGTAATTGTTCATCGACTTTTCAGTTGCATTTGTACAAAGGAATGGGTTGGGCCCGACTGTTCCATTCCTATTTAATTCGTCGCTGGAAACGTTCCTCTAGATGCGCGTAGAGAATCTCTCCCAGTTCTTATTAAAGCATAAAGGGAGAGATTGGTCGGTATCGATGTTACAGACAATGTTATATTACAGTGAACACGTTGTTCTTACAAATTTTATATCTATTGACGTAGTGATTCTCTTTAATAATTTAAATAAGATTAGCTTACATTAGGGGCGTCATTTTTGGGCCGAGAAGTGGCGGAATGAGAGTTTAGATATACAAATAACATCGCCGCCGATAGACGAGTCTGCAGATCTTGTTTGCCATACTCGTGATGCCATTCCACATTGCCCCAGTGGGAGATCTAAGCGTAAAGAAACACAATAACGATAATATATATTACTAACGATAATAGAAAAATATATAATAGATAATATATAGTAGAAACATATCATTAACACAATAATAGATAACGGAGAGCAAAATGGACCTCAATCGACATTTTTATTCTAAATTAAAACTAAGGTGCCATATACCTGATATTCTTCTTCTAGGCGTGAAAGATTTACAGCTTCCGGGATATTAATTACTCTTGCAGCTGTGGCAAGAGTTAAAATAACTGATTTTAATCCGTCCACTGCATACACAAGACCTATAAGCAAATAACTGTTAACATACGATACAAACGCAAAATGCTCCATCTTACAAAATTGCATTATTACCATAAATACTATTAAAATTATGCGACAATAAATGTTTCGTTAATGCAGCTTTAGTTTCCGTAGACACTGTAGGCGCCTCTATACTCTGAGTTCTCGTAATATCTACATTGTAATGTTCGCAAAACCAACAAACTATAGGTTCCCACTTTTCAACTTGTAACTGATACAATTCATCCACTTCCTAAAATCATAAACATTCACTGTAATCGAGATGTCGCGTTAAAAATAATATGGAAAAAATATAAAAATTCGTATAAATACTTACACTCGAATAAAACAAAATTGTATCTATTTCTAAACAGTTCACTATGTGACTGACAAGATCTATTTTGGTGTGATTGTGCGGATTGTCCAATATAGTGTTGCACAAAGATGTCTACAGCAGAAAACCATAAAAATGTTTATATAATCATTAACATGTTTATATATACGTAGAATAGATATAGAATATCATATCATCTAATAATGCCAAGTCACTGAATTAGTAACTGCCAAGTATTTGTTATTCCAAAGTAAATTTCTGTATCTCATTAAATCAACTGTAAATAAAATAATGTAATAAACGATTAGATTCAAAACACGTTATTTGATTATAACCACGCTATGATGTTAAATATAGAAAGATGGCAGAAAATTGCATGTAAAGTGATTAAATTACGTACATAATTGTATTGATCATACCAGGTGCATGCTTCCTCTGTCGATTATCTCCTTCTGTGCATCCCATTCGGCAGCTACGGCCAGGGCCAGAAGTTTGCTGTTCACCTCGAATACCCTACCCTGCGGCGTCTTCAGTTTCCTCTGATCCAGGGTAATCTCAAATTTGTCGCCGCTCGAAAGTATATTCGTCCTTCTATAAAATCGTTTCACGGTGGCTACAAGTGTCCAATTATATTGTGCATTTAGTAAAACAATCATATATTCAATTAAAGCACATTAAAAAAACATCAAGAATTTAACCTAAATAATAAAGGGTTATGAACAAAACGTGATTATTACCCATATTTCTTACAACCAAAGAAGCTGGCACAAACTTGTGGCATGTAAAATAATACATTGTATTGACCAGTTTGTTAAGTATTTGTGGCATGTTACTTATCACTATTGTCTTTTCTCGTCAAAAACATTCCAGGGAAGCAGGAGCAGACGACAACATTGACGAGTAGCGTCAAATAGTGGTCAATCACGTAACTTTTGAGTCTTGAAAACAGTGCAGTAGATATTATAGCGCTCTACATTGATAATAATATAACAGAGATCATAATCAATACTACATTGATATATAACATTTTTTCTTGATTTGTATTATTTTATTTTAGCATTTGTATTATCTTGTTTTTATTTATTAATTTTAATTGTTATTTTATACTTAAAAATTTTAAAGTAAATTAGATATTTAAATTGTTCAATGTTCATATAAAAAAATCATAAAATTATTGTAACTGATACTTTTTGAGTTTGTGAAATTTTTTCTTGTTCAGAAAAATTAATTATTATTTTTTTAGCATATAAAGTATATATACTTTATCGGTTTTGAGAGATACCTAATATAAATGAAAAAAATATTTGTGTATATAATTTATATATGCATATTTAAAATCATGCGTAATTTTGTCACAAAAGGAACAGGTTGTATTGAAGAATATCCATAGGTGTATAAAATACGAAATATATATATTTGCTTTTATAGCATAACATATATAATTTAGATAAGTATACATATCTTATGGGTGTTACATATGATACTATAAGTTCAACGATATAAAAGATGACAGAGTTTACAGTTTAATATATACAAAAAAAAACGGCAAAAGGCCGGCCGCACATAGTATATAACACTCTAATGCTTTCGATAGCCGTTTAAGAAGATAATCGCGATTGTACTCACGCACACAGTATTTTATATTTGTAAATCATTGTTACGATTGTCAGAGAAACTTGGTTTATCATCATTGGTTATAATACAGAGAAGATTCGTTCCTGTTCGATGCAAACGCGAAAGAAATTCTGACAAATATACGCGCGGAAAAGGAAATATTGAAGAGATAATAATTCTGTCAAGCAAATTTTGTTAAAACACAGCTACTAACGCGTTGTTAACAAAGCCATTTAAAAAAAGAGGAGTCGAGAGGAGTGATCTTTCTTAACTTAAAGTCAGTTTTGAATTGGTCTCAGTTACGAGTGAGCAAAATTAAATATCTTATAACGTTCTTTAGAAATTTATAACGAGTTCTTTTCTGCAAAACTTCATCGTTGTTCCCGCAACTTTTGGCTTCTCATAAACTTATTAATATATATAAACGTGCTGATGCATCGATAGAAAAATACACTCGATTTGAAGAATATATCCGTTAAAATTAATTTATAAGAATAAAAGATTTTTCGCCGGTTAAAGCGCTAAAAAACATACATGATCGTCGAGCACATTAATGTGCCCTTTATTGCGCTGCTAACAAGCAACATTAGTTGTATTTTCACAAAACTTCTTCAACGTTTGTAGAGAATTCATCTCTGATTAATGTTTTTATAAACGTTATTTACGTAAGAAAAAAAGTTATTCATAGTATCGTCTTGGGGCTAGTATTGTCCGTTTGATTAGTCTATACTTAGTTAGCTACCTAAATACGAATGCTAAATCTACTAAAATAACATGAATTAACGCTCGTGGAAGCACCCTGAATCACTGAATGACAGTCACAGGCCCGGTCCTCGATTTTTAGCATAGCATTTAACCTTGATACAATTATCTGAACCAAAGTTTCATCTGCTTATGCAACAAGAATTCAAATGAAGAAGATATAATGAATGAACACAATTAGTACCGAAAACGCATCAAGGACACACGGGCCAAGATCAATTGTCGGCGGTCACGAATAGATAGCGAATTTTGTACTTCGCTGTTTCACTTCGTCTCATTCATCTCGCTATTTCTAAGTTTGATCAAAGAAGGACGATAAGTACTCGTCGCTCTTGACGAAAAATCGCGACGGCGCGATTAAAAAAAAACGCCATCTCTTTATCCCGATACATGTGTTTCGGTTTGGACTAGGTTCAATCGTCGTAGCGAATCTACGACCTGGAGACATTATACACGCCGGGATAACGAGAGGAAAAGGGATATATATATATATATATAGTCGATGACTAAGAAGGCAATAGAGAATTCGCCATTCGTTCTCAGACATAACTCTCGTCGTCAACGACGGATCTGCCGAATCCCAGATGCCTCGTGGTGATGGGAGCGCGAGGCTGCGGCGGCGGTCGATAGGGCGGTGGCGGTGGTAGAGATCTGGATCTACCCGCCACTTTATGCCTGTCCTCGAGGTTCATGTGCACCGGCGGCAGGTGTCTGAGCCTTGGCGGCAACGGCGGCGGTGTATCCGGCCATGATGTAGTCCTTTCCTCTTGCTCATCCTCGCTAAGATCGACTACGCTTTTATAGGAATCGTTCACGTCCGCGGTTCCGTAGACCTCAGTCGATCGACTCCTCTCCTCGCAGTATGTAATTTTCCCATCGGATTCGCCATTCGATTCCTTATTCTTGCAATACTTTAGTGCCTCCATGTATATTGCCTTTACTCTAACAAAGTCATCGTATAATTCGCGATCGCGGGCTTGACGACGGCGTTCTTTCTCCGACATCGGTGATTCCAGACTCACGTACTGTACCTCGGAGGGCTTGACCTTCTTGAACTCGTAGCAATCGCTACCAGAGCGGGGTGTATCGCTGCTACCCGTTAGATCCTGCTCCGAGTCGTGAATCGACACCCGTTCGGCATTTCGGATGTCCTGCTGCAAGCTCTTGCTGTTGTAATCCTCCGATAACATATCGTAGCTTACGTTCAACTGCCTGCTTCGATAAGCCTTGCAATTCTCCACATTTTCCTTCATCGTGTCCTGCCTGAGATACTCCCTGTCATATGTGTCCTTGTCATTGAATCTCTCCTTTCTGTGCTCATGCTCGTCCAATTTATTCGTTCTGGGTGTTCTTTTGAGCTGTGCTCGCACCCAATCTTGCCGTTGGAAATTGGACGATTGAGACGGATTGGGGTAACACCCGTTGGCCTTTTCCTCTCTAAAATTGTGTTCCGTGCTGTTCGTATGGTTGTGATTCCCGGACCCGTAACCGTTCAGCCTCTCCTCCCATCCGCATCTATAAACTGGCATGTAGGTTTTACTATTAGACTTCTCCTCCTTCGTAAAAGGCTTATCATAATTGGTAGACGATGGGGCATTCGGGGCAGAGTCCTCCGAGCCTACGGGCGATTCCGGGATGAATAACTGGCAATCTGATAAGGTCAAACCCGAGTCTCTTGACAGGGACATGGGGTCTCTACGCGGTGCCTCCGTCAGCTCCAAACTATCCAAGGATATTCCACCTGCTACACCCAAAGGAAACTTGTTAATGATAGGTAACGTAATTATTATATATTATAATATTTTAATTAATATTCTAATAAAAATAATTTAACATAGCGTTATTGTAATACTTACAGTGAAGACTATCAGTGCTTTCCTCGGCTCCGCTGTCACTGCGTGTATCTTCTCCGAGAAGCTGCGTGACATTGGTGCCAAACAAATCTTCACAGTGACGGATCAACATTTCCGTAATTGTCGGGATCGCTCTACTCTGATTCACCGACGGATTCGAGGACCAAAGTAAACTCGGACCGCAACAAACGCCCAGGTTGCTGGCGCACATGAGATTACGTTTCGATCGCCTCGCCACATGATGCAGCACACAAATTAAATGCGAAAGTAACGTGAAATTTGCCCTCGGTAGTCTATCTAAAATGCTGAAAAATTTTTTCCAATTATAGTTTCATTTTCTTATCGAAAATATTCTGTTGACAATAATAACAAATGTAATCACTGAATAACGTAAAATTTTATTAATGGAAAAGAAATTTTAATTCTATATTACTTTAATTTTGAAATAAATTATATACCTTTTAATGGTTTGGACAGGATTCGGCGTATTCAAACTGTCCATCCAGAGGGGAAACAGATGGAGGGTCAAAAGGGGATCCGGTAAAGACCTCAAGAAATCCTTCAGCAAAGCTGCCACCGCTATAATCGGCGCATCCTCCAGACAACTAGGATCTCCCGTGGACTCAATTTGTTCTCGCAACTCCCGAACGATTCGAACATTCGCGGACTTGCGGAATATTCCCTGCACGAACGGACCTTTCGCAAACAATTGTTGCAGCATCACGAGAACGGGTTTAGGCAGGCCGTTCTCGTCCAGCCGCGACAGAGGCACGCCAAAGAGGTTCGTATTCAGCGAGAGCGAGCGACGCAACAGACCGGTTATTTTCGACCGACTGTTTTTCTTCGCAGGTGTCTTCATCACGGGTCTAAGAATGAAATGGCATAGATCGACGCCGCTGTTATTGATGTGCACCAGATCGAAACCCTCGTCTGTCGATAGCATGTGCCGTAGACGCGACATCTTCACGGCGAATGGTCGCTCGTGCCCTATCAACGGATATGGCGGCTCCTCTTGGAACGTTCGGGCCCAAAGTTGGAAGGGTCCTTGAAGACCCCACAACGGTGTCGCCTCCTTCACGCAGTCATGCGCCGTCATGTCGGAGCGAGCCTTGATCGTTTTGATCTGCAAGGTGCGAAACAGCACGTATGTATTCTTCTCCCTCGGCCGGATTACAAAGGAATGAATAACACGGCGCGCGGTCCGTCGAAGCTTGTTTACCGACGATAGACAGCGTTTATCTAACGGAAATTTATTCGCGATCCAAGCGGCTTATACCTTCATACAACGTCGATGAATTATGAACGGTGACTGAAGGTGAATACCGACACAATACGCGGCGACGATTCTAACTCGGTACTGACGTTCACGATATAAAAGACGTCTTTCGTGAAGAAAAATACTACCAGGAAGATCGAATGATCGAGTCTCGCGGATTCGAGTATACGTAAAGAATGGACCGCGCGAAAGCAGGCACTGCGAATGTATTCGCTCTCGCGTGAAAGGACTTACGTAGTCGGTGTGCGTTTCGTTGTCATGGTACACAATTTGAATGTTCGTCTCCGGTGGCTCCTTCATACTCTCCTTTTGCACAAGATCGTTCAAACGTCCCCACCAGAGATCTCGCGTTGCGGCAGTCCTGTAAAAATAAATTCAACCGTGACAATTATAATTGTAAGCTCTCCGAGACTACTGTTAATATTTTTTATCATTTAGATCCTTGTTATTTTACGTTTTGGAAAGAGAGCTCATGTACTTACATGAAAGTGGCCACAACATTCGTGGTAGGCCAGCCAATGACGAAGCTGGTTTCCGCGGACTTACTGGTCTCCGCCACGTCTTCTATGTGACCAGCCGTGAGCCAAAGCTCGCTCATTTTCACGATTTGCTTCAACTTAAAGTTTCCGCTGCTACGAGCTTTCGCAATCAGCAAAAGATCGGTGAAGAGGAAGAGATGCCTCTCCTGAGATTGCATGCCCTGAAATTCACAACGAATTTTAAAACTCGATCGTTTTGGCATTAAGCGAAATATTAAAGTAATAACTAATTTTCATCACATTAGATGAAAATTATTAAAATATGTTTGTGTAAATATATTTTAATCTTGATAACTTTCTGAGACTTTCCGTACCGTAGTGAACTGGACTGGTGTTTCTAGAAGAAAAGTCCTAGTCGGCGATTTCGTCGGAGATGAGGTACTATCCGTGGTATCCAGAGATTTCTGAGAAAGTCCTCTCGTCAGCCTGGCTGGAGTATTACCATTTCTTTTACGTAACATATTCTTCGTTTTCTGAAAACAATTAAATTAAATTGAAATCTGGTGGACGATCAATAATAAATTTATTTAAAAAAAATTTTTTTTTTAAATTTGATATTGGGAACTGACATAGTATACGCCAAAATACATGTAATTCATTGAAAAATCTCAAAATGTTAATAACAATTGCATGATATAGAATAGTTTATTTTTCAGTCACCAGATGTCATGAATATGTTCCCAAAATAGAAATGCGAATATATTGAAAACATCTAAATAGATTTAATATCTTTCTTTCATAGAAGAAAGAAAAAAAAAGACTTTCGTGTTGAACGATCTAAGTAACAAAGGTCTGAATGCGAATAACTATCTCTTAAGACTCTTCTTGTAACGACTCGGCCGGGAGAATTTCGCAGAGTTTATTGTTAGACCATCATGCTAATTTTACCGCCGCATTAATCGCGTCGTGTAACACCACATACGTGCCGCACACGTGCGAAGTATTAACGGCTACGCCCGAAAAATGTCACTACCAAATTTGGCCGGCGATTCTCTAAGGCGTGTTATATACAAGCGAGAGTAGCGAATGCGTGGCAGATCGAGCAGGCAGATTAACATACGCGGGCTTATTAGATACTCTGACATGGTCCAACATCTCTCTATTCTTCGCTCGCCGCTCTTTTCCATTATGAAATCACTTCTGGTGATCCCGGTCGGGCAGTAACCCACACCTTCGTCTTATTGTAATCGCGTTGATACAACGCATAAAAGCCCAGATCCGGGCATTGATATGTCTAATGCGTCAGATGGATTATCCATCATCATTTATATTTTATAGCATTGGAAAGTGCATCGCCCGGGGACTTTAACAGCGAAAGTTTCGAATAATACCGATAGACGTCGATGCTTTATGGGATAAGAGTGCCTGGAAACAGCTGCGAGAATGTTTCCCATTAAATGTAGAAATGCGATAAATAATTTTAAAGAATTATTATTTCTACCACAATAACGTTATGCCCTATAATTTTTACGATCCGCGACGTGAAAAAAAAACAATTTATCTTGTAATTTCAAAATATACAAGAGGAAATATATACTATACATTGAGATATCAAAGAAAATCATTATTCACAATATCAATTATTGATTACTAAAGGTCAACGCGAAGTTCTTTTTTTTAAAAAAAAAGATCCTTTTATTTATTTACAATATTAACTTTCGCTATGCTTCTGTCATTGTTGTACAAAAAAGGGCGCTTTCCACGGAAATAGTATAAGTATCGTTCCATTGTCACATTATTGCCAGTCTCTATCTCGGTGACACAGTTTTTAGTCTGTTGTCATATACTTTTTTTGTGCGCGGACGCAGAAAGTGAGCGCTCTATTGAACGAATGGCACGCCGTCAATTTCACCGTTCGCAGTAGTCAGCGGGTCGGATGAAAATACGGCTGGGAGAAATTATCGGATATACGCGTTTGTGTCCGGATGAATATGCGAATGAACGTGGGAAGGAAGTGCGTATACGCGGCGCTCCAACCGTCACCGCGCCGACGACACGCGAGCATTTTCCGCGGACGCAGAAAAACGAGATGCGTCTAAACGACCGTGAGAAAGACTAAATTGCGAGGCGCATTGTCCGCGATACCGTTTGTCAGCACCGTTGTTTGTCGCTACACTGTTCGTACATCCTTCACGAGAAGGCGAGTACAACACTTTGCATAAACGTTTTTACCATCGTTACGATTGCTAACTGAAGTTCTGATAGTTCTTTTCGGGAATTAGGGATGACAAAAAATTGGTATTTTATATCAATGAGATATTCTCTCGTACCGTGGTGACGACGTCTCGCTCGTGCAGCCGCAAGTTGTCACCGGGAAACAGTTCTTGGATGCGGTGAAGGTCACCCTCCAACTGTCCACGATGAAGGACCGATCCGCTATCAATGCACTCGTTATCTATCAAGCTCCTGGCTTCCTGTCCCAGGTACCTCTCGTAATCGGCGAGCCTCTGCACCTGCACAAATAAAATACACATTTCATAAAATTTCTTGTCTCTCTGCATCACGAAAAAATCGTGATATAAATTTTTTATATCCCGGGAAAAAATTATACGTTGCACACTTTGGTCGCCACTTAGCTTGGGAAATCTTCTTGCTGTGTAACCGAGTGCAAGGAAAAAAATTCGCGATTGCATCGACGATTTTTACGTAACTGCGATAATTTTCGATAAATCGCCAGTCGATGCAATTGGCAAATTTCCAAAGGCATTACGAAAGTAGAAAAGGGATGCGTCACGATGTGGGGATACACAACTTTCCCTGATATCGATTTTACTAGAAAAATGCGATGTGATATCTCTTTAATAAACGTCGCCGAACGCGGAAATAGATGGGAAACGTCGACCGGATCGGGCACGGTCTCGGAAATGCACGCCGATTCGTGTTCTCTTCTCGCTACAACGAACGCGATAATTATCATTCACCGTCCGAGTCGGAGGTGCGTTATGTAAATTGACAACATGTCATTATTTGATGTACGTACGATTGTGCCCATGCCATAGTCGACGACCGTACGTAGGAACTGACTCAGACTGACTATTGCAACATGTCACGTATATGGCTTCATTAGACATTCATAAATGGCAGCGATAATATTATCTTCTAAGGTATCAATAATAAATATAGCATTGTTCAATGAAAGTGAAAATTATGAGATTTACTTATAATATATTTTTTAGCGTTGTTTCTGTCTAAAATTGATTTCTTGCAACTTAGATCTTTATCGTATTTAGTTCAATATACATATTCATGACTACATCACTTTTCTCATTTTCTTTTCTTTATAATATTAACATTAATTCATATATCATCTTCCCCTGTTATTTCGTATATATTCGTATGTATTTCGTACAGATGAGATTTTGTCACATGTCTTTTTTCCCACAGTAAATAATTATCTGTGTCATTGATCTTAAAACCACCGATCAATCATAGTAGTAAAATAGAAAAGAGATTCCGTACGTATATCAACCCAAACTTAAACCTTTGTCACGCGGATTATCAGTTTTATGAATGATCGTGAATGATCCCACATAAGTGATGTAAATACCGGCTTTGATAAGAAATCTCGCTGTAGATTCCGACCGATGATGTTAGGTCACCGTCAAATTTCGTCGGTGACACTCGATTAGCCTGACTGATGGCCGTGGTGCTCGCTACAAATGGTCGCGCGATCGCTTCTTAATTATCATAACATGGCAGGTAGTTACCGCGCCTGAGGAAATGTGCGCGAGTAGGCGACCGTTGATGGCTCTTGTACGTGCTCTGAATTAATTCGCAGTTACCGCAAAATACCGCCGCTGGCAAAATTTTGAACGATCGCCGCCGCGTTCGCCATCACTCGCGGAATCGTAAGACGGTGAGATTCTACGCGCAACATCCCGTCCCTTAACATTTTGTCTATCTATATTAGACGCTCTCTCTCTTTCTCTCTCTCTTTATTCCGGGTTTAATAAATTATGAAGCACTCACGTAATAAAATAATATTGAGTGTAGAAGTTTAGTGAAAGTGCAAAAAATTGTTTAAAACAAAATAGAAAAAAGAACGTGATTTAAATTTCTGTCGTTAATTTTTTGCAATAGCATTCATAGTACTACAATTTCTATTTATTTGTTATTATATGTATATTAATTATATACATATGTATAATTATATGTATATTAATTATACATATAATTATAAAGAAGCATATTATATTAGATTATATTATCACATATTAATAAAAAATATATTTAAAAAAAATTAACAGAAAAACCACTGTCTCAGATTTTCTCAAGGGAAGACTGAGGCTTGACAAGCGTCCACTTCCTCGAGGACACCTTACGCACGCGTTACGAAGTCTCTTTTAGGTACAATTCCATGATGAATGCCACGACGGCATTCATTACCATGTTTTCTCTTTCGCGTGTAATTTCCGCTTGACGTAGATACTTGTTATTGGCATTCTCGGACGTGTACTCGTCCCCGCGCATGCATATTCGCGAATGGGGAATTTAGCATGATCTTCCTCGCCGTTCGCGTCTCTCGTTCTCCTTCGTTCTCTTTCCCATCGTCATTGTCTCGCGCCCGCCACGTTACTTTTACGCGCCGGCACCGTTTCCAAGCCTCTTTTCGCACACTTTCACCGCGTGTCGCGTCGTGATTATTATGTTCCTAGAAATATAGACTCGAACACAGCTATCGACACACCGCAATTGAGCGTAAACGATCCTTCATACCGTCATCTTAACTAGGTTTTAAGAAACACGAAGCAATTCTTGGTGAAGAATGTACGTTTCAATGTTTAAAATTACTGTGATAAATCGTTGGCCATTATCAATTTTTCAAATTTATAAGAATGGTTTATAAATTCTTCGAATTTAAGGAATTTTAAAGATATTGCGGAAAAGATAATATTGATAAAGTCACGGAAATCATTATTAATAGTTAAGACGACGAACGTCAGGATTCCTTCTCGCACGTTAAACAGCCATGCAAAACATCGAAAACACAGAACAAATTTACAAATTACAAGAACTAGTAACGATCGATTATATATTTCTTATCTCTTTTTTTAATGCTCAATATTTTCTCTTGTTTGGATCGCAAATTATGTGCAGGATCAGTCCTCGAAAGTAGAGGTACTTTCGAAAGTAATCGAAATATTAATTCGTCATCAGTTTATTATATCGGTTAGCGGATTTGTTCGACCGAATATATAATCGTTCGGGCGTCGATCAATCAGTCGTCGAAGGAAAGAATGGAGGATACGAGGATAAGAGAATACGGCATGATCAGTATTCTCTTTATTCGCTTTACGCGCGACGCGCGTATCACGAATGTGCACGCATCATCGGATGGTTTGAATATCATCGCGACGCGATACATCCAATTCTACAAATGCGACCGTATCTGTATAAATCCGCCTTTGGGCATATATGCAGACGTATGTACCTGAAAGGTATATACCGTTAGCGTACCGACGGCGACCTCGCGAGACGACTACCTCGGGCGCGCTATTTCTCAACAGCGGGGCACGTTTACACCTCACGTGTTCGCAATATCGCGCGAATCCTTCCGCGCTTCCTCGCGGGATTCCCCTTTGACGTTGAGCGCACGTGCAACGGTAAATCGCGGAACGAAATTCCGCCGTGGAGTGCGCGCGGTAAGAGTGCGCTATTCCTTCGAGGCCCCGAGAGGGCTCGGCAGACGCACGTGAGATGCACGTGGACGTGCAGAGAATAGCGACTCTTTACGCGAGCGGCAGGAACCTTTCGCTTTAAGAATTTTTTACCCCAAGCGAATAGTGCTCGGACATCTCGAGGGTGAGCGTTAATGTTGAGGCAGAAGCACCGCAGTAGGGATCAACATAATCAACGTCAGTCGATTTGAATATCTGCACTATCAAAAGATCCTCTAATTTCGGCCTTATCTTTCTTACGACATCGTGTTCTTCATCGACACTTAACAATGATAATTAGGTATTATCACGGTAGCATTCAAGCATTATGATAACATCGATATTTGAGAATAATAATAATTCGCCAATATCCGCAAAGTACTCAATGTTGAAAGTAAGATATTGTAAGCATCTCTCGTGTCAATTCAGTACAACTCTTACGCTCAATAATGTGCCAATCTCATCGGTCGTTGCCGAGTCAATTTTAGGATTGCTGCAATGGCAAGGTGTACGTATTAAGATACGGAATGCCCCGCGGGGCACGCGGAATATAACTTTTCCATTGGCATCTTGATATTACGAGAGCGGAGAGCAAACTGCACGCACATTTACCGGATACAGGGTGTCCTGCGAAAGTCTTTCAACGAGACATGGTTTCGCTTTGCTCTTTCGTAAGACGAAGGAGAATTTTATTCAGAAGTTTAATCGGAAAAGGGACGTCCAACACATCAGGAAAAATACTGCAAGAGTTACCGAAAATCCAGAGAACAAATCCAAAATCCTTTCATGTGGAGAAAGCCGCGGTTTATCATAGACATAATTTGAAAGTAATGATGAATGTATAGGAATGTCAGAAATTAAATACTCTCCCGAGAAAAATGATTCTCGTGCGTGTACACAGCTTCTCGGGGGACACCCTGTACGTGTATACGCGGGACAAATTGCTACGGCGTGACGCAACGTCGAGAACACCTGTCTCGATGTTACAAAACCCGCTTCCTGGGAGAGCACCTTACGCACGTGTACGAGCAGCGTACCTAGACGTGGAGCAAAGGTCCGCCGCTCCAGGGATCAGGATATTGATACGCTCGCATCCCAGGAGAAATTGATATATCGATGCATGTGAATAAGACCACGAGTGAGGTGAGACGCAAGGTGGAAAAATCGATGAACCACATCAATAAGATTCGACTGTCCCACTAATATGTTCAGAAATTTCGACATTCTTTTTCTCTCTGTTTAACGCGAGTCTCAACCGTATTTATGAAAAGTAATGAAAAATAATCTGTTAGAATATTAGGTAACGTTGTAAAAAGAAATCTCCCGAAATATGTATACAATATATAAAATTAATATATTTTGTTTGAAAAAAAATTAAAAATTAAATGCTAACCGGAAAAATTCCGGTTTTGAAAATAAAAATTGTTATTAAGCAGAACTCTTGTTATAAACTATAGGGAACTCTTCGTCTCTTCAAAATAAAGCGGGAATTCCAATCAAAACTATGGAATTTTATTGTTGGGATGCTAATTTCACACGCTTTTAATTTCGAGTACTAACATAAATGCAAAAATTACATCTTGCGCATTAACTGTCACATATTTTTCCTTTAATTAAGAAATTTTTTTATTACTGCAAGTTTTCAAGGCACTGTGAGTATAATGATTCAGTGAGTCATGAGCGAAATTGGAGAAACGCGATATTCAATCCGGTATGCAGTTCGACGAAGAGGATTATGAAATGGCATTCGGTATTCCGCGGTGATTCCACGACGTGTCGTCTGCCCACATTCGCCT